TGTTGGCGTAACTAGTTTTTCGTTGAGAGCTGTCATTCTTAGACTATTACCTAAACTTATGTTTTTTAAATGGGACACTGTATATTATTTTTTTATTAAATTTTCCCTGTCGTGAGCTTTCTAAAAATATAATATACTTTAGACTTATTTTCATAAATAAAGTAAAAAATACATTTTTTAACTTTTTACTATAGGCAGCCGGTGTATAATAGATAGCCATGACAATTGAATAATTTATTCAACGTCAAATTTTGGCTATTGTCTTTTCCGTGCTAGTTTCCGTGTTGTTTTTTTATTTATTAAAAGTGCTAAACATGACAGAACAACAGAATTTGATTATTTTGAAAAATGTGATACGAATAAATGTTTTATATTAGCCAACGAAGATTCTGATTCAGCGGCAGAGCTTTATTCGGACAGATAGTTTACCAGGTACAGATATCATTGTAACTAAACCGTTGCAATGTATCGTATTCCAATATACCGAGAGAAGAAGGCAGATAAGCGCATATTTCGGAAAACATAGAGCAACCTAATTCAATCGATGTACCAGTTGCAAAACTTGACTCTAGGCGCAGGATTGCCAAGGTAAAGATGATGCACAAGTTTATATTTATAAGGTTTGAATATAAATTGTTTTAAAATTGTTTGCATTTTGGTTTTAGATACACTCACATCTTCCTCTATGCATCTACAAGATGTCTCTGGTGTGGCTTCAATTGATGCCAAAACATAAATGTTTTTTGAGGTAAACCTCAGATGCTTCGGATGAACAAACCCAGATCTAAAAGATATAACAAAGAAAATGAAGCATCCGAGGTAAATGTTTTGGCTTCAATTGAATCCACACCAGAGACATCTTGTAGATGCATAGAGGAAGATGTGAGTGTATCTAAAACCAAAGTGCAAAAAAATTTAAAACAATTTATATTTAAACCTTGTAAATATAAACTTGTGCATCATCTTTACCATGGCAATCCTGCGCGTAGAGTCGAGTTTTGCAACTGGTACATCGACATGTGTGAAAGAGTAAATAATTTTCACATGGGGGGAGGGGATAATTAAGTAGATGGTCGGACAAAGCGTATTTTACTAGGGCGGGTATCCAAACTAGACAAATTCAAGATTTTTATTTATTCTCTATTTTTATTTTGAAAGTTGGCAATCAAATTTAAACGCTGCATAAGCTCATTTTCAGTGCAGTTTATAAAAAAAATGATGGAAAGCAAAATTACCTGGTTAAATTAAATAAAATAAAATAATACTCTTTTAAACTAGGTTGTTTTAAGTTAAAAAGTTAAAAAACGCATTTTTTACCTTATTTATAAAAATAAGTCTAGGGTGTGTTATATTTTTAGAAAGCTCATGAATACAGCAAATTTAATAAAAAAAAATATTATACAGGGTGTCCCATTTAAAAAAAATACAGGTATGTAGTCAAAATGTCTACAGTTGCTAAAATGGCTATATGGCATTTTTCACCTTTTCGATAAGTAAGTAAGATAACCGAGATATGAAGGGGGTCAAAAAGTGCAACATTTTCAATTTTGCCCTGTATTTCAGGAACTAAGAAGGCTAGGACAAATCTATGTGTAGCATCTTTAGTTTCATAAAAAAGTAGCGTAGTGATGTGAAAACCGCATCTTTGTGTCTTTACTAATAACCGAGATACCCTGTAAAACACACGAAAATGACACGACACCCTGTACATATACCTATATTGAAATATAATATATTTACATTGACACAAAGAGTAAACTTGTTGTTTTTAACTAAAGGATAATATTATATAACTATAACTATAACGTGAAAGAGAAAGAAATAGTGCGGGAAATGTATAAAAAAGAAGAAAAAAAAAGATTAAACGGCCCTCAACAAGTCGTAACCGTATACACCAGTGTACACCAGTGCAGACACGCACACCCACACACTCACACAACCACACCTACACTAGTGCACACTGATGTAACTGCCTTCAGGCTTCTATATTTGTGGTATCTATATTACACACTTTTATGGTGCAAGGTATTTGTGGTAGCACAAATACACATTCTAAAATTATAATATTTGTGGAACAAGTTTCCACAATTAATAAATGCCAATAACTTTCTTACGGTGGAGTGTATAGACATATAAATTATATTTTTAGGTCGTGGACAGCGGGTTCGTATCATTTCGTACAAAAATAGAGATGCTACCACAAATGTCTTTACAGCACGGTTGTCACAAATATGGTCATACGTGTATTGGTGAGTGTGTGGGTGTGCGTGTCTGCACTGGTGTACACTGGTGTATACGGTTACGAGTTGTTGGGGGCTGAGCCGTTTAATCTTTTTTTTTCTCCTTTTTTATAACTATAACTATAACTATTTTTATTAAAAAATAAATTGTTTTGAATGAAGCTTTATAAATACTTATTCTCCTTCTATTTGAATATAAGGATCAATTGGTATTCTATTGTCTATTTTTAATTTAGTCCTCTTAAATATTACCAAGATACACGATGCATGTATCTATAAGATAAGCAGTGTTATTTTGGAAATAACCATATTTTTGTTATATTTGGATCTATTTTCATTTATTTTTTAGCAAGCTGTATGTAATTATATCAACTTTAATTCGTAAACTCATTTTTTTATAAACTTTAGTATTTGGAATATTATACAGGGTTAGAGGGGTTGTTTTTTGCCCTAACTTTAAAACACCCTGTCCAATAATTTCGTGTGTAAATTTTCCTAAAATATAATTTTACGGTCAAAACCTTGTCTCCTGAGCATTTTGTTTTTTAGATCATGTCAATACACGTCTTGGTTAATTCTTAAATTTGCAATTTTTTCAATTATTAACATTTATTTTTGAAGTTATTTTTCAACATTGAATTTTGAATTCACCATAATCGCCAAATGCGGCTTTGGTGATTATTGTTAACTATATACTACTATGAACGTGACATCATGAACATATGAACAGCTCTATATTATATATTATAGTATGCAGCTTCAATAACAGTATGAACAGATGTATACAGGCAGTTATAGCAGTCAAGGGAGACAATACAAAGTATTAGGGTATTTTTTACTTTTTTTTTTCTTTTTGTTTGTAAACTTGAGTATTACAGATGATTTCTTTAATATCGCTAGTTCTGTTATCTGTTATCGTTATGAATGTTTATTAAAAACAGGAAAAAAAATACACTTTTTTGTTTTTTTTTTAGTATATAAAGTACCCAATGCAGCATAATATGACATTACGACAATAGTCACCAAAACCATCTCACCATATTAAAAAATTACATCAAAAAGTAACAATAATTGAAAAAATTGGTAATTGATTGTGATCAGTTCATTTCGCTCTTAAAAATTAATCAAAGCATGTATTGACATGAATCAAAAAACAAAATGCTCAGGAGACATGGTTCTGACTGTAAAATTATATTTTAGGAAAATTTACAAACGAATTTATTGCACAGGGTGTTTTAAGGTTAGTGTAAAAAACAACCCCTCAATGTTGAAAAATAACTTCAAAAATAAATGTTAATAATTGAAAAAATTGCAAATTTTAAAATTAACCAAGATATGTTATTTGACATGATCTAAAAAAACAAAATGCTCAGGAGACCGTAAAATTATTTAATTAACCCTGTATAATATGCAAAATACTAAAGTTTATAAAAAACTTAGTTTACGAATTAAAATTGATATACAGGGTGGCCCATCGAAAACGTTCCGCAAGGCAGGGTAATTTTTTTTTCAGAAAATTCAAAACCACGTCAATTGCTGTTTTTTCTTATTATTTCTAGATGTTTGCAATCGGGTTGCGCAGATATTCAATGAACGCCATCCTGACAAACACCTTTATGGCAAAATTGTTCGCCAGTTAGTAGCAAAATTTCGCGAAACTGGTTCCGTTATGAATAAAAAGAGGCAGAGGGAAAATGCTGTAGTAAAAGAAGCTATGGAGGTATTCGTATTGGGCCAAGTTGCCATGGACAATATTCTGAGTACAAGAAAATTAGCCTATAAGACCGGCGGGAGTCGTACAAGTTTCCAAAAGATATTAAAAAAACACAAGTTCCACCCGTACAAAAAAAATCAGTTGGTACAAGAACTCAACGAAGACAATTTTGATCGTTGCTTGCAATTTTGTGAAACTATGAGTGAACGAGTGGCGAATGATAATAATTTCCTATTTAATGTGTGTTTTTCGGATGAGTGTACTTTCTTTTTGAACGGTGTAGTTAATCGGCACAACTATCGGTACTGGGCTGAGAACAACCCCCAGGGTTTTTCACGAGGTGCACACACAAAACCCTCAGAAATTGAACGTGTGGGCTGGTATTTTTGGAAATTCTATTGTAGGTCAGTTTAACGATATTGAGAAGAACTTCAACGTACAAGTCGCAGAACAGCTATCGAGCAACTACCGCACCTGATCGTTCAACGTTGTGGCAAGTGAAAAATGCGTAAACATCTAGAAATAATAAGAAAAAACAGCACATTGGTCGAACATATCCTTAATTATCATTTACCCCTATAAATGCTTAAATAAATTTTTCAAATTTCAATCCTTCGTATTTTCTCAATGACTCGACCGATTTTCAAAAATGAAGCGGGGAAATATAGAGAATAGAAAGCTCTTTTCATTGCCACTTGACCCCCCCTTCCATTTGAAAAAAGTTGGGGGATGATAACCCCGCTTATAGGGTTGAATGTTTTGCAATCGTTTTGGGGGCAAAAGTTGCCCCCCTCACAAACAAAATTGACTTGTTTTTGGATTTTTTTGAAAAAATAAATACCCTGGCTGTTATGCTTTGCGGAACGTTTTCGATGGGCCACCCTGTAATTATATATAGTTTGGTAAAAAATTCATGAAAATAGGGCAAGAAATAAAAAAATATAATACTTTAAATTTGACCAAAAATTTCTCCAATGCGTTTTTTTGCATCTGAGTGTATTTTAGAACTAAAATATCAATTTTTGTATAAAATATCTATTACATACCACAATCCCGTTCATCAGATCCATCGATACAATCATAGTGGTGATCACACTTCCAGTTCATAGTAATACAAGTACCATCAGTGCACTCGAATTCATCCATGGCACATCTAATATAGAATGATTTATATCAAATATTAAAATAGATGATAGAAGTTTAGTAAACACTTACCCAGCCCTAGTGCAATTGACTTCATCCGAAAAGTCTCTACAATCATTATCGTTATCACAAGTCCAGGTTTTTGGAATACATAGACCGTTTTCGCATTGAAATTGATCCAACGTACAATTTTGCTTATAACCTTAACATATTAAAATTCGTCAAACGTTTATTACAATAAAAAATGTTTTTTTTGGTAACAATTAAATTCAATTTTTTTAAATTTATTGTTTTGTAATTACGACAAATTGTAAGCGACTGATTATAAATGTTCTATAAATTAGTAACCACAGTCTCATCTCATACTCTGACAAATAAAAGATTTATCTACAAATTACTACGAGATTAAAAAGAATTTATTCAAATGCAATACAACTCTTCTCAAAATGATTATAAATATTTAAAATTACTGTTGTTAGTATGACAAATTACATGAATGTGTTTAGAATGATGAGTAATTGAGTGATTATCCAAACCTTGGTTTTGAGTCAGCTAGTGCTTTATATGTATATGTTTTTGTTGTAATTTGAAAACAATACAAGAGATTTTATAGCAAATAGCAACCAATATTGAAGTCAATGCATTTTTTGTATACCATGTATACCTACCACATCGTGTTTCGTCCGAGTAGTCACCGCAATCGTCGTCCCCATCACACAGCCATTCCTTAGAAACACATCTCTTAGTTTTAGGACAAAGTACAAAGTCCTTAGACTCATCGCATTTGATGTATGTATGATCGTGTTCGTCTATCAAATTATCGCAATGCATTTCGTCTTCTTGGTCTTCACAGTGTGGACGACCATCGCACCTTTACAAAAATATGATGGTCCATACTATTTTCTAAATTATTAATTATATTGATACCTGTACTCTGCTCGGATACATTTACATTCACTATGGCACATAAATAACCCTTTTTTACATGTAGAGGTACAAATTTGCGTGGGATGGTCTACTTCTCCATAGACACCTTCAAATCCTCTACCTACATAAAAAATAGGAGCTTTTTAAGAATAAAATATTAAATGGTAATATTATTTACACCGGGGACAAAGCAATAGTTGCATAGACCGCAATTTCATGGTTTTTATAGGATAAATTTGAAAAACAACCTTGGTAAAAAACGTGTCTCTTAAAATACACCTATGCAGAAATATATGTTCACTGCGTAAATGAAAAAATAAAGTGGTATCCTGTATATTTTAGAATATTTAAAGTACTAAAATTATACTTAGAACATAAAATGAATAGTCTAGGGAGCAGTGATATTTTTGTACTTATTTTCCCAGACGGTGGATATGAAATAGTTTTCGGATGGGTTTACTAGATAAAAAAAGACCATTTAGTCCACTTATTTTTCCAGTCATAAATATTTGACATTTATTAAAGTAAATAATTTTATTAATAGAAATGGCAGTCTGCCACATCCTAAGTGGAAGAAAGTCAGTCTAGCTAAATTTGCGGAGGCAAAAATTTGACAGATTTTTGTAATCCGTTACCCTTACTTTCCCATGCTTGAAATTTAATGTATCATTTGAAGTAAACTATAATCAAAAGCTAGTCTGGCTAATTTACGAAAATGGCAAATGAGTCTGGCGGCTTCTTGAATTCTTGACCAACATTACAAAATGTTTACTCTTATTTTCCCGGATTTAAGAATTTGTCATGATAAATAATACTATTATAGTTTCATATAAAATACACGTTTGGCTCATTTACAATCATAAAAGCACCTCCAGACTAACAAGTCAGGTAGTTAAATAAGGAGAGGAAGCGGTATTGCACATGTCGAATTTAGCGGACCTGACAAGCATCGGACGAGTCTGGTAAAGCTTTCGGGTGTCCCACATTAGCATGTTCCAAGGCTTTCGGAATAACATGGAATATTTCTGTCGGTGTTTTATGGCTGGAAAAATAAGTACTGAAAATCTCCACTGTCTCCTAAACTATAATTTTCCAAGCAAAATTTTACGCCGCCATTGTGGGAAGTTTTAAAATTGACAGTGTACGAAGCGGTCCTATAAATATTAGAAATTAAATATGCGTACCCACCTGAAAATTGTTTAACATAATGCTTTATTAGTTTACCAAAATAAATATGGTTTTTGTCTATTACTGTATTATTACTCATTTTATTTTTGTACTTGTATTTTTGTGTAGTTTTTCAAGTGAAACTTCTTTACGCGTTCTGGGAGTAAAAATTCATAGCCGTAACACACGAACTGGCGAGATGAAACGCGAGACGAAAGCCAATAAGGAAACCAAGTGGTAAACCAATGGTGGTTCTTTGGAGCGTCGTAACTCGGGCCCTATGTGAGCTATAGTGAGCTAGGGGCTGAAACTAGGAATGTAGATAGGGCTCGAAAAGCTCCAGCTTTTCATAATATTTTGACGTTTCGTGAAATATGAAACTCCACCATGAATGGCGAAAAAATCGTCCCCATTTAAATGAAATTTGATATGTCGATAGATTAAACCAAGTCCAACTTGACCGTGTACGACACGTGTCACTGTGACAGTTTTGATGCAAGAAACGTCAAAAGTTGATGTCGTCCAATCGCGACCATAATTGATGGGTGTGAGCGACGGTGCACACGGTCCCGCCCTGTAAAGTTGTTTGCCCTGCAAAGCTGTTTGCAAAGCTGTTTGCATTCCCGCCCTGCAAAGCTGTTTGCATTCGTCTGCATCAGAATGGGACCAAGGATTTGATATTAAAGAAAAATGTGGGTCGATTTCGGCATAATTGGGGACGGGCTACATGATGACGCCCTCGATGATGCATGGACCGAACCGATGAAATGGACGAAATCATAAGGATTTTTCTTAATTATGGGTCGATTGGAAGGAAACTCGGTACGTGGATAGAGATACCCGAATGGAGTTCTCAGACGAACGATGGACAGGCGGACGTTTTAATACAAATTTTGTGAAAGTTAATCAAATATATTAATTTTTAATTTATTACTTTTTCAACAGTTCAAACTACACTTAACATGTCCTTCAAATCCTTCAATTTAATAGCTGTTAGTAAGAAGTTTCACTTCAAATATGCGCACATAGTGCCCGCACAATTTCTTTTTTGAAAAAGGAGATTGTGTCGTCTCATATTATAGCCGTGATTCAAAATATCACCACATTGAATTTAGAATGAAACCGCTATACGGCGTAGTTTTGAAACACAATATTAAAGATATATACCGTTGAAAAGAGATCTTTAATCAACATACAATGCAAAAATAAATGCAAAGCAAAATAATAAAATATGCAAAAATAACCATGTACCGGGTGGCCAACTAAGAATGGACGCCGGCTGTATCTCAGAAACTATTATCGTATAACTTTGGAAAAAAAATTCTAATAAGTAAATCGACCAAGACAAATCACTGGAAATTATTTTCAAGTTCGAAAAATGTCCGCTAGGGGACGCTTCTCTGATAGCCAATCAGAAAACAGGGTTTTTCTCAAAAATATGCAGGTGAACAGCTATTTTAAATATTACTATTGGATTCCGAGAAATTTGTAATTTTTCTGATAGAGTATTTTGCTCTATCTCATAAAATAAAGTGGTGGGGGAAGGTTAAACTTGCTTTCATTAAAATAAGGATAACCCTGTGTGTGGTTTGGGTTACCCGATTTAAACAAACTATGGCTCGTTTAAAAGAGCTTTTCTTCCTTAATGATTCCCAGTATAAATTTTGTTTCCATAATTTTTTTCGTGGTAGCTAGAGGGCGCAATTTGACATTATAACAGATATTGAGCTTTTGCATAAAAAAATTAAATGGAAGGCTATATTTCTCTTTACACATTTAAATAGAGCACAAAATTTCCAAAATATCAGCGCAAACCGCAACTTTCTACCTTCTCTCTAACCGGAGATATTAAGAGAACAAATTATGTTATTGCCGTTGATATGTGCCGCTTAGGATTATATGGTCTAAAAATTATAGTAGCAGGCTAGGAAACAAAAAGAGGTAAATTGGTTACGTCAAAATATCAAAACGTTTAAGTTCAGTTTTCATGTGCATCCGGGCATTTTCTTTAAAAAAATGACGTCATAAATATTTAAACGTGTTTATGTAACATTATCGTCCATCCTTATAATTTTTACGAATTTTTGGTTTAATTAACGTAGGTAGTTCTCAAACTAAAATATCCGAAAGTCGGACAAACAATAATTTTATTAAAATGTCTAGGAATTTTCGTAGAATTTCGAAGAATTTCGTATGGCCGAAAATTAGAGGTTTATTATTTCATGTAATATCATTTAGTTATTAATCCAAGTTCGTCCTTGATTTCACTTGTTTTCGTGTTTTACTTGTTGTTTGTGTTATTTATTATTATTTTATGTCGTTAGAGTCACTTTTCATATAGCACAAAAGGTGCGAATCTTAACAATATGCACTACTGGTTCAAATCTGCCCTTAATGCAAGTAGTTCAGCACCAAGGCCGTTGGTCGGTAAATGTTTAGGCAGGAATTCTAGGATGGCGAATGATTGAACTTTTTTAATTATCTGAATGAAATGAACTATCCACAATTTCTAAGAGATAAATTGTTAGAGGATCGATCATGTTGAAATTGCATTTGTTACAATTTCATCAGCATGAATGCAGTTGGGCCGCTTATTTTGCTATGAATGTGTGGGGCTTCTTGAATACCAATTACTTTAGTAGATGGAGACGCTGGAGCGGCATATTTCTATGGCTAGCTAGGTCATCGCATTTAATATGCCTGGGTTTTAATTTAGGGGTCAAATCAAGAACGAACATGGATAAATAACAATTAAATGGTATTAAAATGAAATTAAAATATATGTTTTGATATTTTGACGTAACCAATTTACCTCTTCTTGTTTCCTAGCCTACTACTATAATTTTTAGACCATATAATACCAAGCGGCAGCCTAACATAATTTGTTCTCTTAATATCTCCGATTAAAGAGAAGGTAGAAAGTTGCGGTTTGCGCTGATATTTTGAAAATTTTCTGCTCTATTTAACTGTGTAAAGAGAAATATAGCCTCCCATTTAAATTTTTTATGCAAAAGCGCAATATCTGTTATGATGAGAAGCGCCCCGAGAAGCGCCCCCTAGCGGACATTTTTCGAACTTGAAAATAATTTCCAGCCATTTCTCTCGGTCGATTTACTTATTAGAATATTTTTCCCAAAGTTATACGATGAGTAGTTACTGAGATATAGCCGGTGTCCATTCTTAGTTGGCCACCCGGTACGTGCCGATGCAACGATTATCTTATAGATATGCTTTATTTTTAGTCCAAGAAAATAGGCCTTCAAATACGAAGGTTTGGTGAAAACTTGATTTTTTTATATAAGTTACTTTAAAAGATCTAAAAATGAATTGTGAAAGATTTTTTTTAAATTCATCCCTTAGAAGAGATGAAATAAATAAATAAAGTAATTTTTTAGAAATTCCGGAGAAACGGTAAGGATTAGAAAAAATAAGTTCAAATAAAAGTTATAGAGCGTCAGATTTCAAATAAAAATGGTCTCTTTACTTTTTTTGCTGGAATCAAAACTAACCGAGATAGGATGGCTAGAAGCGAGGGCACAGCTTCTATTGAATCATTTTTTAAGTCCTTACCGTTTCTTTGAAATTTGGAAAAATCTACTTTATTTATACTTTTTACCCCTTCTCGGGGGTGAATTTAAAAGAATGGGAATTGAAATTTATAATTTTCCGAGCAAATTGAAAACAAAATTTAAATAAATGAATTTTTCAGCAACTTATTTTTTTTAAATTTTTTTCATCCCTTAGCTTCTAGCCACCTTATCTCGGTTAATTTTGATTTGAAAAATATTTTTTTGTGACATGATAATTATAGAGTAATAAGTCTTCATGACGGGTTTTTCTATGTTTTTATATCATTTCTAATCCATGTCTCTGTTTATGGCTAAAATTTGATATCATAAAACTAGGTTTACAAAATGTTCTACTGCTGCCGATGCCGCACTAAATTTTTAATAG